GATTAAACCAAACCAGTCTTGTTTGTTCTAACCACATGAGACTGGTATATCTGTGAAAGACATTTGTCAAAGTTTTTAATTAGAATCACAAAAGGACTGTGGCTGTCTTATAAACTGATAAAATCAATAAAACATTCAGCTTTGATTTTTAAATTGATTAATTGGTCTTTTTTTTTGTTGTTGTTGTTTAAGCCACATGCTATAAACTAACCTCCTAATTACAGCTCAATTTGTAACTTTATCAACGCTGAGCAGAATTAAATGAGGATGCAATCACTCACTCCCTTTATGCATGCTCGTGCCAAGGCCTTTGCTTGCATATGGACATCTTTGTTCCATCGATCCAGCCTCACAAGAACAAAAGCTCGGGGAAGATGAAAAGGCATTTGACCCAGCTCTGTTGCTGTAGGCCTCGCTAAACAGCAGAGGGTTTTATTGACGACGTTGCAGCAGCGCAGCCACTTACCCAAAGCCAGTTGTCCAGGCATTGACATCTCTACTGTAAGACAAGTCTCCACTGCCCAGGTGACCCGAAGGAATGCTTCCTTGTCAATGTGGGTGACAGCTTGTGAGTATAAGTTTGCCTCAGCCTGTGAGTGTGTGTTTTTATCACTGTGCGTGCGTAACATGCAAGTGAATGTGCATGCGCGCATCCCTGCAACAAATAAATCAATAAACCCTGAGGTTAATAGTGAGGAGGAACTGACTCACGAGCTCGACTAAAAACATTGGACTGTTAGCATAACCTCAGTCCACCCATCTCCCTGTGGAAATCCACTGACATTGATTATAAAGCTCAGCCTGCAGTTCAGTCAAGTCTCACTAGCTTATCTACGACTACGTAAAGCCTCTGCCATCAGTCCATCACTTCAGCGCAAGCAATTTAGGAGTTAACCCTCCAACATCTGAATAAACCAAGGACAGAGTTGGAGACGGTGAAAGGATTAGACTGGAATTCAATTTGAAGTCAGTCTTCCTGGTAGCAAAGCTGTCCTCCAGTTTGGAGGACGTGAGTTTAAACCCCCTCCGTGACTCATTACTGTGAAGTTTTCAAACTAAACCTGTCAAAGCTCGTGCGTTAATCATACAGTGAACGCATTATATTTTATTTAATTTTAACTTTATTGCAAAAAGGGTTGTAATTAACAGTTTAAGAGCTAGATCGTGTTTTTAAGCCATTCATGTTATTTTATTCTATTTGTTTTTTGTTGTTGGCTTGTTTTGTTTTACTAAGATGGTCATAATTAAAGAGAATAACTTTTTTTGTGTGTGGATTTTATGCAGAACAAAAAAAAAAAACAACAGGAAAACAGCTTGTAAATCTACACATTTTGTTTTAAAATAATGTGAAATGATCAGACTTTGACTAAACAGTATTGTCATGGTCAGCAGGGATCAGATCAGCAATGTTGATGTTCATGTTTTCCACAAGATTTGATAATAAATGTTATTGATTGTGTTTTTTATGATCATTTGTTGAACTAAGTAGCCTGAAATCACACCTTTGTGAGCCGTGAACCTTTTCTCCTTTCCACTTTTTATTAAAATGTGTAATTATATATTGCATACCATGTCTATTATGATTCGCTTAGATTTGTGTTTGAGCAAAAGCAAATGATCAACAAGGATTTTGGTTTGTATACAAACAATATTTAATCAGAATAAGACCAGAACTATCAGTTATATTCAACGAAGGACTGCGTGTTTAGAATTAATTTTGTTTCAAATTGAAATATTGATTTCCATATGCTGTTTTTGTTTCCCTTTTTTTATTTTCATTCACTAATTAAATGCATATTTTAAACCAATATTTAGAACTGCATGCAAGTTAAATGTTTTGCTCTTAAAAATCTTAAATGCCTTTGCAAAACAGGTCCTATTTGTTTCACCAGTTGTATCGCAACTTGGTTGACTTGGTGCAAACCCAATGCACTGCTAGCATAGAGCTGAAAACAACAAGGAGGTTAAATAATGAAATGTACAGAAAGCAAACATGATTTTACTACTTCAGTCAGAAAACAGCATAAAACATTTCCCTTGTGGTTTGATATTCATTTTAAAAATCGAGCTTTTAAATACTTCTTTTTTTTTAACGTACCAGGGTAGTTCAAAAACACATACAACATAAGAGATCATTACATTACCCACTTAAAAACACAAGCAAAAAGATAAAACAAATTGCAAACTATGAGATCAAACATATTGAATTATCATGAACTATAAAAAAATGAAACTGTTTTAAGAGTTTAATTCAGCAATTTTCTAAGTTTATCGATATAATGTTCTGAAATGTTATGCTCAGTGTAAACAAACATTTAGGCTGATTCTGCACGGAAACAAGTGGAAGCTTGAATTGTGATTGAGCTGCATAAGGCCAGACATAGTCTATGCAATTAAACAGATATGGACATAGAGCAGAGCAGAGAATCTCAGAGAAGAAGTTTGGGCATAAATGGGTATAAATGCATAAATTATTTGGGTATACATTTTGGTTTAAAAAGAAATATCTGTTAAAAATGAAAGTAAAGAGAGATCTGGTAAGACAACGGTCAATAATTAAATATGGGAGTTGAAGTAGTGTGGTGCAGCACCATATCGACTTTTGCAAAGCATCTTCTAGACCAGTAAGTTTACTAAATACAGTAAAAATGTCAGACGTCTCAATCCCACTTGAGTCTTTCCCACATCATCATTTCTTAACACATATGTAAATTTTGCTTACTTTTTTATTCAAGTAAACACAACTTACCAATATGTAAAAAAACTGGGCTGACTATGTTTGTTCATTTATTTATTTAAAATAAAGTACTATATGATGTCATCATTGTATGTTCCCATACAATGACGACATTAGTTCTCTGCATTTAACCCATCACACATGAGATACGTCCAGGTGGAGCAGTGGGCAGCTGTGTAAGTGATTAAGTGTCTTGCTCAAGGACACCACGACATTTGGCCATGGCGGAGAGTTGAACCTGTGACTTTCTGGTCCCGTCGGCTGCCCCACTTCTACACTATCTCGATCCCATGTCGATTTAGCCTAGTTTTCCTAGATTACAATATATTTAATCTGAACTAAAATGTTCATAGTGGTACTTGCCCAGAATCTGATATTTGCACCATCCTAGATAAAGATAGAATATAATCCACAATTGGCTAAAGCTAACTTTGACTGTAGCCATTATGTGCTGAGTGGCTACAGTCCATTTCCTATGGTGTCTGTAAGATAAACCTACTCAAGTTAGGTTTATGGGAGGCACACTATAAGCTTTAGAAAAAAGTCTGGCCTAAGAGTTAATTGAATTGAATGGGTTTTCTTAATCACATTTGAAGATATGTTAAGATTAAAACTATAAAGCTAGAACCTGAAACATGAAGAGATTGACCTTTTATGGCTAATGTCTGTGTACCTTTTTCCATTTTTTTTTATTTTTTATTATTATTATATAACTGAGTGCAGGTGCTGATTGTGTTAAAAGATTGTGATGGTTTTGCTAAATGACCAAGGATTACAAGCAACTCTTCATGTTTGTTCTTCTGGGTTCTCAATGATTGACAGAAAACATTGTTTTTTTTTAGTACTAATACGTATTTATAAACCATATAATCAAGCAAAAACTTTGATCAAAACTTTTTATTTCTTTTCTATTATAAACTGAGGAACTACTGTTGGTAAAGTTCTGACATAAGGCAAACTCAAAACCCAAACTAGCCTTTCCATTTGTGGACAATGTTTCCTTCTATTCCATCATTCTGGTCCCAGTGATATCCTTGTTTTTGTCTGTAATCCATGATTGAATGTGTATATATTCATTTTGCCTCCTCAACTTTGAATGAGTAAAAATGACAAAAATGTTATATAAAACTAGGCTTATCTTGGTCTGCCAGCTTAGTTCTCTCTAAGCCTCCAAGCATGGAGAATAAGAAAGAAGGAGAGCTGCTTTGACTGTGACTGCTCTCCCTCTCAGCTGTTTTCAGCAGCCGCCTCGGCCTTGCTGACAGCTAAAATAAAATCTTAATGCAAGAGGCCATAGTTACACTTGTCATTCCAACGTGATTTCTAGAGACTTAGTCACAAACATTTGATGTGTGCAACTGTGCTGATGCTGTCATAGTGTGATTTACACCTCCAAGTTGAAAGTTTCATTTTAATCTGTTTTCTGCTCTTCTTAATTGTGTTAACAGTTCTCCTGAGCATATTGTGTATTGTCAAAAAAAAAAAAAAAGTTAGATTGATCATATGAAGTGATACATTTGCAGCCTAAGCACCATTGGTATATACCATAAAACACAACAAGGTCAGTTTCCAGTTGAGAAAACTGTGATAAACTAAACAAATAGGGTGTTGGGGATTTTTTGCTCAAAGGTCATGGGTGTTTATATTACTTTGGCTGAGATTCTTAACTCTGCCCATGAACCATATGTTTGGGTTAGAGGAGCTGAGTGAGGAGCTGAGTGAGGAGCCGTCAGCCAAGGACACCTCCAAGTTCTGTGAACTCGGCTGAACTCATAAGGTTATAAAAGCAAGCTGAGAAGGCAGCTTGGGCAGATTCTCGTGACAGGTCTTCATGTGTGTACTTGATGTATAATTATGTAACCTGTTCTGAAAATCTGACCTTGCAAGTAAATGCTGGTCAAAATATTCTCTAGATGTCAGGGGTGGTTCTTCTTGAGTAAGTAAGATAAAGTGAGAGTATTTTTCTTCAACACGGGGCCATGCAAAAGTGTAGATGTTTAAAATTAGCTAACGTATCATTCTTTCACATGGTATGTTGTTTTTGGAAAATGGATTGTTTATAACCCTGATAAACATTTCAACAACAAAAAGTGGCACTAATTTGGGTAAAAAAATAGCCTAGCCTGGATGGACTCTTTTGTTGCCATAAATGACAGCAGATAAGTTAACTATTTCACAGAACATCACTTCAAAAATTAATGGCACATCCATTAATAATAACATAACCCATAAACTTTTTTCTCTCATTCTCTTTTGCCTTCAGCTGCCTGTCTTGTGTTAATGCCAACTTCCCCTGCCACTGGTGCAAATATCGCCATATGTGCACGCAGGATGCCAGCGACTGCTCCTTCCAAGAGGGACGAGTCAACACATCACAGGTGAGGGGCTGAGCGTGCATGCAAACTTAGAAGCACTGATGAGCATATAGGTACTGAAGAGGCTTTTCTTCATTAAAACCATTTAACAGTGATGACTCAGATGATGGCAAATCAGGATTTTATTCACACAGGATCATCCAGACAGTTGGGGAAAAAAAATCCAATAATTATGAGTTGATGTTACTGTGCTTAACCCTATGGCGGTGCAGTAATTTCCCTTTAGATAAACCTTTGGCTCACAACTAAACATATTTTCCAACAGTACTCTGCAACAAAAACCACGGAAACATAAAATGTGAAGACATTCAGAAGGATATATGCCACACACAAAATACACATGCAAATACGTATGGCTGCACAGTAATCCAAGGGTGCAGCTGGGTCCTGTACTGCATTACAGACTGTTTGTATGGGAGTGGATGAATGAGTGCTGCTGTGAGTGGCCCAGCAGCAGCTGTTGCACTCTAAGGAGCACTAGATTTATTCACTTATAAACAAGTTGGAGTGAATGAGTATGCAAATGGAAGCATCCAAATGTTAGATTTATATGAAAACCCATGAGCTGACTATCTCTCTTTGTCCATTTCTTATACTCCATGGCTTAATATAAAATAATAGGTGTCTTTAAGAGGTTGTATTTAACAACATAATTGTCTTTACTCTCTGTCTCAGTTTTTTTAAATTTTGATTTAAGAAAGGTGATGGATTTAACCCTACTCATTTAACGATATTCTTCTTTACTTATTTTTGTCATTTTTCCAATACTATTTCTGTAACAATTTACTTAATACCCAAATAGTATGTGACCAAAAAGAGCAACTCGTAGACTAGGAAAAGTTAAATGTTCATTTACAAAATGTGAAATCAACAGCAGAACTGCAACTCTGTAAGGATGGACTGGAACCCTGGAGAGTAAGGACAAGAGTTAATATGATGGTTTGGCTCCTTAAGTCTGCTTCAATATGTTGTTTGTCTCTTATTATCAGAGGATAAGTTCATTGCATGAGTGAGGGTCCAATAGTTCCTGTAGTCACAAACGAGGAGGTCCCAGAAAGGTTGCACAGATTGGTGGTCAGGTGGTGGAAGGGAATGAACGGCTGGAGGAATCACTAGGAGGCTTTAATTTAACGATGAAACCAGAGAGGTCCAAGAGACAGGAGGAACACGGGGGTCTCCTCCTGTCTCTTGGACCTCCCTGGTTTCATGTTAAAGCCTCCTAGTGATTCCTCCAGCCGTTCATTGCCTTCCACCACCTGACTACCACCACCACTGACCAGGGGTCAGTGCTGAAACATGTGAGACAAGGTTTTAGTCTTTACAAAACATTATGAATCGTAAAGTAGCCAGGAACTCAACTTCTGGTTGGCAGATAATGCACCAGCGTCGGACTGCAGTCATCAATGGCCATTTATACTCCTAAAGCTCATTAGGATAATGTTCCGCAGGTGTGAGCATGTTGGCGCCATCTGGTGTCGAAAAACAGTAGGGGAAAAAAACTGGAACTCCTACAATTTCTTAATTATTTCATTTCTTTTTATAGACCAACAGTTGTTTGTTTTGGGGGGGGGGGGGGTGCTCATGAATGGAAACACACTAAACCATATGTTGACTTGTTTTTTTTTTTTCCCCAGTTGCTTAATCTATATTTTCAAAAACTAAAACCTGAAATTGTGGAATATGAACACAAACATGTAACTTGGTGCGCTCAGCATGGGTGGAAATGAAGTAGGCGTGTGTGTGAGGGTTTGTGTTTATACTTAACTTTCTGTATACCTATGGAATTTCCTGTTTTTGTGTTTAGCACGTGGCTTATGTGTGTTAGTTGCTACAGAATAGGTCTGTAGCCATTTCCATAAAAACGGCAAAATGAGTGCAATTACTGCATTGTAACTGAATGTGAAAGAATGGGGAAAAAATGTGGCTTTGGTTTAATTTTTTGAGTGCTTAGACGAGGTGAAAGTAAAGGAAGAAGCAAAAACAGGAGGTTATGAAGGACACCCATTTGTGAACAGATCAGCCTGACATATGTCAATTTATTTTAAAAGCAACATCAATTCACTGGTATGTTTTTTTTTTCTTCTTTGTTGTCTTCTTTTTTCCCCCTTAAAAACATCCTTTAGATGCAGACGTTGCCATGGTTACAAAGACACTTTGAATATCAGGAAGGGTTTGTTGAATTTTAATAGACACTCAGACAGTCGTGCTTGTGCCTTCCATGGATTATTGTTATTGACACAGCAGACACTAAAGAGAGCTTCAGGCTTCAGATGCATGCATTTGGATGTAACTTTATGTTTTTTTTTCTGTCATTGAATATGTACTATTTTGGAGCCATGTATATGATCGCCTTGGCCAACAGCAGTAGTTTTGTCACACATTTATCTCCTCTAGTCTCGATCTTGTTCCAATTTGCCAGTTCGTAGCCCCTGCTGAAGGCAATATTGCCCATCACTGCTGCCTGAAAAAGTTTCCCCCTGTGTCATTAGCAGTCAGTTGCCAAAGTGATTGAATTCACACTACACTGGTTATATTCCCAAAAGCATTCGTCATATTTCTTGAGGCTGACTTCACTTCATATCTGATAAAATTCATGGCATCTGTGAATATGCGGCATTGATAAACCACAAAATATCACGTTTTTCTTTCTTGAGCGTGTAAACACATACAGTAACTACCGGTAGTTTTTTTGGGGCCTTTTAAGGTAAGTATAATTCTCTACTGTCACTTCCTAGATTTGTAAATATAAATAAATCAGCTCTTTTGTGACAGCAGATAAACAGAGAAGCACATTAGGGGCGACCAGGCAGAAAATTGCCAGAGTCTGAGAAACACTTGAGAAGGCCATCAACAGAAAGGCATATAAACACAAACAATAAGAAACAAACACCGGCGCAAACAAACGCAGAGACAAACAAATTTGCCGTGCTCCAGTGAATCCCAGCATTGGACCGGTAAAGCCGACTGGGCCGAGGCTTGGCCCTGGGGGTGGGTTCAGATAACTTCATTTAGATTCAAGGAAATAGGAAATATATGAGAATAATAAAAAAAAACAATGAAAAATGTAATAGAAAAACAAGTTTATTTATTTTTTCTGTCTACATGCTTCCCTGCTTATTCTGTTACTGATTGCATTTTGCCTGCTTGTTAATTAAGGCGTTCATTCATTTTGTATGTTGTAGCTTTTCACTTAGCATATTTCATGTCCCACAAATGATTTAATGCAGTGCGTGATTGACGGCAAAGACAAAGTGACTGCCAGATAACCTCCCTTGATATGAGCTTTGAACGGACGGGACTTAGTTGTGTTTATTTGCGTGTTTGTTTATTTGTATTATGCTATAAACAGCAATTTCATTAACTTATGAGGCTGGTTCTTAATTATAACCTGATATTGCTCATTTCTCTTGTTTTACATTGGATACAATATAAATAGGTTTAACATGTAAATACATCTAAAATAAAAGAGTAATTATATTGTAAGAGAATGTGAGAATTCAAAAGTACTTTTGTTCACATTACTTGTTTTTGTTTTCTTTTTCATTTTGAACAGTTAAAATTGTAACAAAATGAAAAACATAAAAAAAAGTTAATATTTCCACCAAAATATTCTGTAAACAAAACAAAAATGTTTGAAAATGGAGCAGGAAGAAGCAACGGCTTTTCCAGTCCTGTCCATACGTTTACATGCAAATTCTGAATCAAACTAGTGATTAAATATATACAGAAATACAGAAATACCCATACAAGCATACCATATATAACTGTATACAGGCAGACATGCATCCATAGCTATGTATAATTCAATTCAGTTCAGTTTATTTATATAACGCCAAGTCACAACAGACGTCATCTCAGGGCACTGAATAGAAACATTCCTATATACAAAGTAAGTTAATAACATTATTTATCTGAGGAGCAGACTGCTTTGAGTTTAACTCCATTGCAGACTCTCATCCTGAGCAAGCATAAAGTTGACAGTGGACAGGAAAAATACCCTCATGAAGAAGAGCCCTTTAGAAGAACCATGCTCAGGACTAGCGACCATCTGCTTCGACCAGCTGGATTTGAGAGGAACAGGAAGGAGGAACAGATACACAATGGCATATCGAGAATCACATGTTAAGATAGAAATGATTTCAAATGCCAACTATTCATTTGAAAAAATGAGGCAAATGTGTCCTTAGTAGTCTAATCTTATAGCAGCATAACAAGTCAACCCTAACTATAGGATTTATCAAAAAGGAATGTCTTAAAACTGGACAATGTGTCAGCCTCACAGACGAAAACTGGTTGTTGGTTCCACAAGAGAGGATCCTGATAACTGAAAGATCTTCCTCACATTCTGCTTTTGGAAACTCTAGGAACCACGAGTAAGCCTGTAGTCTGAGATCAAAGTGCTCTGTTAGGAAAATATGGTACAATAAGATCGGTAATATAAGATGGAGCTAGGTTGTTGAGGGCTTTGTAGGTTAGAAGTAAGACTTTGAATTATATTCTGAATTTGAACGAAGCTAAAACTGGAGAGATATAATCCATCTTGTCAGCTCTCATTAAAACTCTGGCAGCAGCACTGTATACCTGCACATTCATCAATATACCTGTTCATGATGCATCATTTTATTCCATAGTCATCCTTGTGATGGTCAAACTACCATGCTGGGTTTGGTATCTGAAATGAAAATTAAAGTAAAGGGATTGTTGCTGTGATAATATTTAAAATTTGGGGAGGCATTTATTCATCCATCCATCCATCTATCCATCCATTATTTATACCCACTTCTTCCTTTTCGAGTCACGGGAGGTCACTGGTGCCCATGTCCAGCCATCGATGTGCAAGAGGCAGGGGACATCCTGGACAGGTCTCCAGTCCATCACAGGGACACATAGAGACAAACGAGACAAACAACCATTCACTCTCTCACTCACACGTAGGGACAATTTACAGTTAACAATCAGCCTAACATGCATGTTTTTGGTCTGTGGGAGGAAACTGGAGTACA